AATTGAATTTAACACTTCGCTTAGGATCAGACCTTCTTATCGAAATGCACCATCAATGCATTTATGCGCCATTTATGGATAGTGCCTTCAGAACGGCCCAAATTCAACATGATTCACGTCGTCACTGTTCTTCTCACGAAGCTCTTTTGTTCCCATTCAAAACCCAATTCTTGCAGTCTCATGACATGCCAATCAAATTCACAGTACTTACAGATTCTAAATTACCACTTGAGCTCCTATAGGGACGAGTTTTTTTACAATTTTTCTCATTCTAACAAGTATGAACTGCATTACAATCGCCAAAAAAACTCTTTCAGAGCTCTTGAATCAAGGTTCATTCAGCCACCATATTTCAAAAGGAGAAATAAGAATAAATTGAGCCTCAGGACCTACTCAGACTCGTTTTGTTCCTGATTTTATATTTCTCAAATAATATATCTACTTAATGCTCAGTTTTATTTGGAATTTGTCCTATATCCTTAACATCTTCACCTCACCAATTCCAACCTTGACCTAGTTTCCGCGCGTTGACCCGATGGCACCTCCTGACCAACATTTGTTGACATTATATAAGCTGGAAATTGTAAAATTGAAGGGATCTACAGGAGGGGAGTGTAACTCTCATCATACAGCCTTATTTGGTACAACGATTTCACCTGAACAGGGCAAAACTCAAGCAGACGGGAAAATCGAAATTCCAGTGAGCTTTTCAAGCACCTATTTGGGATGGGGAAGCGATGGTTTTCTGCTTGATTAACAGACATCTATAAGATCGCCGCCAAAGTAGGGGATACTGGCTATGACGCTATGGGGAAAGCTGATTAACTGCTGGTCATAACAGATGAAAGCTTCACAGATCACTATCATCAACTACATCTCTTTCAGGAAAAGCTTCAGAGCATCCCACAGGCAGCAGCAACCTCTCTTCGATATTTGCACGAATCTTGCTACGAATCAATCCTTTCTGTGGTTTTATTGCTCGAAAAACCCATGACAAGTGTTGTTCGCCGTAGAGGCTTCGATCTTTCATTCGATCGGTTTTCTCATCGACATTTTTCAATGGCACTTTCAATCTCAACCCCACAACCATGCCCTCTTCTGCCCTGATCACATGACAGAGGCAGGGGGTAACAGTAGGGGTTTATCACTTCCGTCGTCATGTTTGCATTTCGACTTCCGCCGCCCACTTGGTAGGCTCGACTCCTCACTCAGTTCGTCAAACTCTTTCTCAGGATTTCCCTAGAAATTCCTTTCATTATAACTAATCCCTATGAATTTCAGTGCAATGACGACAATCCACCTCGTTTTACTAGTCACTATCACTAATGTATTCGCCAGTATTGATACTCCAAAGTAAGTTCATTTGAAAAAACCCTTTTTTTCTCCAGCTCGACTGTCTGGAGCACATGATTGTTTTGAGGCTGAGCGAAAGAAAAAAAGAAAGGGTTTCAGTTACAACGTCTTACGACTCGTCATAACCGATGAATCACAAAAGGATGTTCTTCGTAAGTTAGACGACCTTCTTGGATACCGGGTGAGTTTCGATTTCATTTTACTTTTTACTATTTTTTATAATTTTTGACATTTTCCCTTGTTATCCGTTCTTATGGGGCGGAGGTGGTGTAGTGGCAAGTGGCGCACTATATCACACGCACGGTCAGGGGTTCGAATCCCGGATCGATGCCCGCCTAGGCCAACCAAGCCTTCCATTCCTCCGGGGTCGTTGAATTGGTACCAGACTCGTCTGGGAAGGATAAAAAGCACTGACTTGTACATCGGCTGGCCACCGCAAGTCATTGTATAGGCCACATACGCACTCATTACGCCACTACGATTCTGAATGGAAGTCGAGTGCGGGGGCGCATCCCTCAGACGGGATTGATTAACGCCAAAAACTTTATCCTTATCCTTATCCTTATCCGTTCTTATATATCGATAATAATTTCTTGGCAAGTGCTACATTTGCAATAGAAAGCAATAAGAATGGCTTATTCTGGTAATCCCTAATGGTGGATGCGCCATGCACACGGCCCTCAATAAATAATGGATGCTAGATCATAAGTAGGTAGAAGCCTACAACTTTGGCTGACCTTATAGGTTTTAACCACCTCCATCCCAGCATATATCCCTATATGATTTTTAAATATGATTAAAGAGTTTGTGGGTCAGACCCAAGGCTTGCTCATGTGCATCATGCCGCCGTTAGTCACTTCATTGTATCCTTTTTATTTGAATAATGGATTGATAGCATTATCAATATTCAAGATGAAAGGGATTGATTGTAAAGTGCTAGCTACTTTTCTTAGCGGATCGCGGAATCTTTACCTAAAGCTTATGACTCACTGAGTAAAAGTGCGAAGCAAAGCACGGCCAGTACAATGAAAAGCTCTCGAGCTGATCTTTTCATGAACTCTCTCTAACTATGCCTTCAAGCATTAATGACTGATCACCACTTCTTGACTACTAACCAGAGATCCGTTTCAAAAATCTATGCAAATTCAACTGTAAAGTTTCTTTGGAAGTTTTGCAGCTGAATTGAATTTTTCGAAATTTTGAAAATTTGAAAATTCCGAAACAACATACCTCTATCTTTTTATGTTTTTGTATGAAAGTTTAAAGACTGATAAGAGGCCATATTTGGATATGTTCAAAGAACCAGTTAAAATCGGAGTTCTATGCGGTGGTGCTCAAATAATAATAGGTCGAAGTTGGAAAAAAGTTATATGACACAAGGTCCGTGGTATGGTCCTAGGATCTAAGATAATGGGCAAAAAGATCCGAACATGAAACACAATGAGAAAAAGAAGCAAGACAAACGTCATTTTTCACGCTGTAAAGTGATTGCGCGATTTCCTGATTGCGCCATGCACTTCGTTACTTATTTTGCTTTTACCTCTGAGTTTTTCCTTATCCCAGCGAAGTCATGAATATATAATACTCAATCTTGAAACGTCAGTTCTGTTCTTACCTCAGGTTCGACTTTTTGCTTCAAGCCAATGAAATTGCCCATTTTCGCTGAGATGACTTACTTATCCCATCCGAGCCTGGGAACACTAGCGCTGCTCAGGGTGGTACCATTTCTGCTGAGTTGGGTTGAAGGCACTGCTCGAGACTGGGAACATTGAGGCCCGTACAGTGTAGTACTTTTCTCATCAATTACCTTACAAGTTCCCACCCAAACTGGCAGCATAAAACTCCGCCCATTGCGATTGTATTTCTGCTGGGTGGGCTTAGTGGAACATCCCGGATTTAGAATATCAGGGCTAGTCAGGAGTGACCCAGTGAATGTAAATAGCAGTGGGGATGAGGTGGTGGGAGAATATATCGCCCGGTGCTTAAGCCTCGGTTTTCGTCGAAAACTTATTCGATAAAGACAACAGGTTCAAAAAATACCGTACTCAGGAGAGAACGATTTCCAAGCGTCATCTAATCTACCCATTCACTACGAGAACGATAACGTGAAAAAGCAATGAGAGTTGATGGGAATATAAATTTCTGATCAAATATTTACCAACGCCTGCCCTCGACGCTATTGCAACTTTTTTTCTGGTGCCCGACAATGTGGGACCAAACGCTTCACAAACAGAGTAAAGTTTACCTTCTGCATCCGTACTACGACTTTTTACCTCTTCATGTTTTCCTTTTGGAGGTAAAAAGTTGAAGCATTGTAGAGTAGATTTCACGGAAACCAGTCACTATTTGATCAGGGGGTTTGATTCCCTTTGGACAGACTCTCACAAGTTGGAACCATTCGGTTTTTGACAGGCACTGAACAAACAGACGCTACGCCATTTGCCACTGCTCCAACTCTGGTCCCAAGTGCATGGATTGGAAGGCAGGAGTAGAAAAATAGCCGTGAATGATAATCTAGAACTGGGAAGAAATATTGAGCCACCTCGCGACTTTCAAAGTTCTGGATCACCAATCATTTCGACAATGCGCTCATTTTGGGGTAGCCGTTAAAGTATATCGATTTGGCGGGCGCGTAATCGATATACATCAGCTACGATTGTACACTCGAAGGCGGTCTGAAGCATAAACGCAACCTCGGCAAGGAAAAGCAGTCACTTTTCGTTCGACTGCTCTGATGAAATCTCTATTATGCTGCATTTATACTTCGAATTTCTGACTGACATAACGATTCCACAAACAAAAAAAAAAGGATTATAAAAAAACACCTTGCCTCTATGAAGCTCAGGGCTTTTGCAATCACCATTACTGGTATACGAGCCTGCCGTTGAGGGCATAGCTCTGTGGATGGAACCGAAAAATCTTTGTTGTTATCAATTTGGACGGTTTAAGATAGACTACCTACGTGAGGTTCGATCTCCCAATGAGCCAGCCGACATGTTACTTGATGATGAAGATCTCCTCTATGTTCAACGGTATCTTAATCAAGAAGGCATCCAAAATGAGATTGTTGGTGAGTCTTTGAATGCTCTCAAGCTGCATAATGACCTCGCTTAGTCCACCCGATTCAGGGGTTAAAGTATACATCGGGGTTGGTAATACCGATGCTTCATCGGTGCAGCTCACTCTTCTCCATTTGAAGACATAGGGGTCTCTGTTGCTCAACGATCCCTCTCACCTGATCTATCTTAGTATACGTTGGCCTTCCAAATTTTTGAGCTTCTTGCCTCCCCCTCCCACTTCTACCCTCCTTCCCAGATCTCCTATCAAAAAAAAAAAACACGATCGGAAGGGTTGCACACTTAATCCAGCCCAGCCAATCCCATCATTTAATCAGCTCCATCTCCTCTCCGTGAAACTTATTTTACCTCCAGCCTCAATAATACCCGATTGCTAGATCTCCCGAATCGCTGAGAATTCAAGAGAATGACCGAAAAAGGAACAAAGTGATCAGCACTCATCAACTTTTTTTCGGGATACGCCCTGCTTCAGTCTTACCTTTGGAGTTGCGGTAGGAACTGAATGGGTATTTGATTATGTGTCTATCAATGTACTGCAATGGCACTTGCCTAAGGAAAAATATTTTTAACCCCAACTAGCTGACCCACAAGATTGAGAGGCCTGCATATCTTAAGTACTACCCAGCAAGCTCTGATCCCCAGACCTCGTGTCTACTGTAAGCATTCTTAGCACTATTTTACCTACACCGAAACAACAGAGAGCTCGGTAATAGTTAGCACAAGCTTTCAGTGAGAAATATCGAACGAGAGTTACGACGAGAACGACGAGCGTTGAATGAACCTGTCACTGGAGAAATCACCTTAGATACGATTCTAAAGAAATACCTGTCGTTTGATGACGTCAGTATTTTTTTCAATTTTTTCGCATTTTTTCTACTTTCACTCGTCCTTAGTTGAAAGCTATTCTCTCGAATTATATTCGGCCAAATCCTTGACCTCCTAATTTACCTTTGCAGCAAATGGCTATGCTTTTTCAATTATCACAACGATTTCCACAAACGGCAGATGTTTGGCATGTGGCCACTTCCAGTGAAAATAGAAATATCTTTGCTATCAAGGTAACCCTTAAAGCCTTGGTAGGCCATATTTGGATCGATTCGAAGCAAAACAAAAGCTTTTAGATAGGCTACCCATCAACTGTGAAGAAACCAATACTTTGGATTGAAGCAGGGATCCATGCACGAGAATGGATTTCACATTCCGTAGCTCTCTACGTAATATGGCAGGTAACGCTTTGCCAGGGCGCAAACTATTGAGCTTATCGATTTATCGATTTCACCCTCTGATTTTTCATAATTTTCGAAAAAACGATGGCATAGCACATTTTACACTGAGAGTCCTACCAATAAAAATAACGGACTGGCTGGGGTCAAGTTGAGTGCAGCTGGGCGTGTTCAGGATCCCTCTGAAGTAGAACAAGTTTGAACATCAAGCAGCCTGCTACAAAGGACAAAAGGTGCTTCCGAAAAGACAAAAGAGAGCGTTAATCAATTTTTATGGAATGCACCGTGCACACGTATCTCATTAACTATCTTACAGATATTTGAATGGCCATTTGGCCTGCTCAGCGAATTGAGAAGCCCGTTGGAGTACAAATCAGTGTTTTGTTCCCATAAATAATTTTGTAATAAAAAAACCTCCTACTAGTAATATATGCTGATGTGCTTCTGCTGAATCCTAAACTTTTTCTTTCTGGTTAATTTTGTATTATTACTTGCACAGAATCTAAGTCAGGTACTTTTAGCTTCTTCACGATTCATCTTATAAACGACTTCTTCGTGAAATCGATGTCATCGTGGTGCCGAATACAAATCCTGACGGTTACGAATTCAGCCGTGAAAGAAATAGAATGTGGAGAAAAACGAGGTGAAACATCCTTTCACCATGACGGAATTTCTTGGAAATACAGTAATTCCATCACTTTCAGATCGAATTCTACCGTAAGCCGATTTAGCCAATTATGCAGTGGAGTCGATGCAAACAGAAACTATCCGTTCCACTTTGGCGAGGAAGGAGTTAGCCATTGGCCCTGCCAGTGCGTTTATTTCATAATTTTCTCTGATACCGTAGTTGACGTCAAAATAAATGCAAATTCCGTGATCGAAAAGAGCATTGTTGAATTTTTCCAACTTTTTTAATAGTTATACTTACGGTCGATATAATCAGAATTGACTGAACACAGCTTCCAGCGGTATTTAGTCACTTGGGAAAAAGTCAATCCCTACCCTACCCCACCCTTCCTTTCCTTGTCCTCTCTGCCCAACCGTTTCTCTTTAAGAGCTTGAATCAGGTACGGAACCCTGTTTGGTGATAAGATTCCTTAACCCAGCACATAGCATTTCGAGCATCCTTAGGTGGTAGAGGCTTATACAGGAGCTATCACACAGAAGGTCCATGGATCAAATCCTGCCCGAATCGAACAGAGCTCTCAATCACCTCGAAATCGACAGTCTGTGTCAGTTTTGTTTATATGGGTAGAGGCAACTTGTTGTGGCCCCCTAAATCACTGTGTAGCTCAAGCACATATTCAAAGCGATTCCGCATAGAAGTCAAGTGCATGGCGCTTCCCGGGGAGTAAGTGATCAAGCCCCTTAGCTTAGTAATTTATTAGGTTGAAAACTCAATGACGCTTTCAATCATATAGAAATCTACTTTTCCAAATACAGAATATTTTTGACGACGACTATAGGTAACCGATGGAATTGAGTCACTGATGTGTTCTTGGATTCAGGGAGACCTACTGCGGCCGAGTTGCACTCAGTGAGCCGGAGGTGACCAACTGCCAACCACTGTATATGTTATCGAACCCAATGATCACAAATTTTCAGGTAATGGGATTAGCTGCAGCAATTTTGGAAAGGAAACATCAAATCCGAGGTTACATAGCGTTGCATTCGTTCGGCCAGGATATACTGTATCCATGGGGACATAAGATTAACGAATATCCGCCTGACGTAGAAGATCTTGTAAGTTTCGGAAGTTTCAACCGAGTCAGGCTTCCACCTCTGATGACTCCCTAAAGAATAATATTGTAGAAATCGATGGCCAATGGGATTGCATCCGCCATATATTCCGTTTACGGTACACCTTACCGTGTATCAAACAGTGCTGATGGATTGTGTAAGTACTTTAAATCAATCCCATCTAGGGAGATAATCTGGGGGATTTCAGATCCGGCATCAGGAGCTGCTGACGATTGGGCAAAAAGCATCGGTATCAAATATTCATTCACTTTCGAGCTGTCTCCAACCACTATGTCGTAAGTGGTTACTCTTCGCAGTCTAAAGAGTAAAGCCCTCTGGCGTTGATCCCTGGGATCTTATTCTCACTCACAGGCAAACTTTGAAGAGCAGAGAGATGTTTTAAGAGAAATTTTATATTTCCAGGCCAGGATTCCTCTTACCAGAGGCGTATATTCCACGAGTTACACGGGAGGCTATGGAAGGTATCGTTTATATGGCCAGACGGATACGAGCAGAAGAAGCTGGCCGTCTTCTTAACGATATCCTTACTTCGAGGCCTATTCGAAGACGAGCTCAACGCCGAAGTGGATAGCTATTAATATTACAGATGTATATTAAATCTTGTAAATTTGTTAAATGAATTAAATTTGACAGATGGCTAACCATCTAAAAGCTTTGAAGAGTAAAGTTTCAGAGTCGATCAATCCTGTTCTGAGCCGCTCTTAGGCTTTAATCACTAATTTTATACTCCCATACGATTCCGATACCATTTAACCGACCTCGGAGGGAAACTTGGTTAGCCTAGGCAAGTATCGATTTGGGAAACGATCCTCGGACCATATGTATGTGTGAAAGCGCCCTTTTCCGCCCCAATTGAACATTTTTCAAGGTAATATACAATAAAATACAAGTATTTATAATTTGGCGTGACAACCTTATAAATGAACAACTGAACATCACAAATGGTGTTCTACTCGGGTAAAACCAGTTAAAAGTGGAATGACCGACACCTACACCCAAACTAGTTGCAAGATAAACATCACATTTGGCTCCCCATAATTCACCAATCCAATCAAGGCACGAGTTCCCAGGTTAGGCCCTAACAAACAAATAAACCCAAAAAATATGGCAATATGGATCAATCTGTATACCAAGAAGAATAGTAGTTAATGTTAGTAAGCTCAACAACAATGATATGTGATTCCTGCCTTCTAAACAAGTCTACTTTTCTGCCACTTTGATTAATAGAAACAGTTAGCTGACGTAACCAGAGTTGCGCTAAAGAAGCGGTAGAGTTACTAGAAATTAACAGCCAAAAGTTTGAAAGTTATAAAGAAACTGCCCGAAACCATGTGATTCCTACATGCTTGTATACATAAATTGCACTGAAACTTTGGAGATGTCCGACTTCTTTTCGAGAAAAAGTGTAGAAACGAAAATCAAAATGCTCTTCTGTCAGACTAGAAAACGTCGAGGGAGGATGGCTTACGTAGTAAAATCACAGTGAGCAAACATCCCGAGTCGCTTCAACCATGCCTTATAGGAGTGGTCACATCCTGAGCTGAAGCCGGAGACGGTTCTACAAACGGCACCTGAATTCACATCACTTGATAGGGCGATAGATTAAAATGTACAATGAATTTGAGATAGAATTAGGTTCATATGTGTGTCATAGAGTTCGTAACAATAACAAAGTGTAAGGGACGTATTGCATTTAGTCAAAAAAATCCGAAAAGTCGTATTGGCCAAAGCAGTTTCTGCGACAACGGACTTGATGTGGGCGTAACTACGAACTACGAGCAACAGCAAATGACGAAAATTATCATAGCAGTAGTTTTAAGGATAGTCGCAGATTAAGGAAGCACCGTACCTTTTTTGGGAAGTAGTCGAGAAGATTGCGACTCGACCGCTTCTGGCTGTCTTTTTGTTCTGGAAATAAGTGGTGAACTTGAGGAGAGACAAAAGAAGAAAGAAATCAAACATGCCGGCAACTTAACAAATGTAAATGTAAAAATTACCCTTCATTTGAGATAGTGGACGACTTTTCAAAGGGGTTAACTTCACGGTTAGTTTACGAGGTGAGTTTTGGGTACGGTGCTGCTCTGATACCATCTTCGAACAGACCGAATCGCCAAATTCTGTGACACTTGGCAATCTAAACAACTATGGAAAACTAATCACTTACACCACCTACCGCACAAACATCATGCAAGGCATAGTACTATTCTTGCTACTAATTGGAGAAAAAACTAAGCACAGCACAAAGTCACCAACCGCGATCTCTCCGCCTTGGAAAGGGACCTCGTCTGATCGAGACAACTTCGCAAGTAGTAGTCATCGAGATTCTTCTTAGATGTCTGAAAAGGGCACTCGTTCAAATTAACATGCTCAAGCATTGGACAGATGCCATTAGGAGAGCTTACACTTGGAGACTCAGATTCGACACAGGCGCTTGGAGTTCCTAGACTTTCAGCAAGACGTCGAGCTTTGAACTTGGAAATGTATCGCTCATACACCTTATTCGGCAAATTCTCAGTAGGATATCTAAACCACAAAACCTTCCAATTAAACTTCAATGAAGCGAATGAACAGATACGACAAACTTGTAATGGAAGGCCCCTTTTTTTCGACTCCTACGATGTGACTGGGGTGTTGTTGTACTGGCAATATCCGAACTTCCAGCTTCAGCGTTCGTAATGTTCGCGAACGGCAAAACGGGAGAAACCAATCTTAATAATTGAGGGTATACACTCAAAAATCAGACTAAGACGATGAGATTGGCTGCTTTTCATTTCCTTTTCAAAGTAATTGACCTGACTCATGGATGGCATTAATTTATCTAGACCCAACAAAAATTCGGATACCCTTAAGTACGTTTCCAAATTGTTGAAAGATGAACGTTAGGGCAATTATATTTAGAACCACATCTTACTTATACTGACCACAACCACCTGACTGACCATAAACATGAGTCGTTATTTATAAAATTTTACAATTTCTCATGAACTGTTCAAGTCAGAATTTTAGAGAAAAGAAAAAAAATATAATATATATGACAGGAATTGCAATAAAACAACACACTTCATCATTTTGGAGATTGGAGATTTGGTAGGCGTGCGTAGCCGCTTTATTGGACTTTCGAACGGTTCTTTTCGTTTACGTGAAGGAGTACTGGCAAAGGACGTAGGTGACCCGGATGGACCTTGTCCACGACGGATAGACATCCTGAATGCAGAACATCCTCCTGCCATAGGAAGGTTCACTCAAGAGGCTTACCTGGTTACTAGGAGGGTAGTCTTTTCAGATTCATTGAGTTCATAAGTACTGATGGTCTCGATGTTGGAGTTTGCTTCAGGTTTGCCTGGATTGACAACGTCCGCGCTCCATACGCGGAAATGTGAGTCATCCATAGAAACCATGTACCTGAAGAAGTCGATAATATAGACCTGATGGCCGTTCCATATAAATGTGGAAATATGGGCACTCAAACATCAACACAACACTCAAATATTCCTTTTATTATGAGCGTTGAGTTCATGGCGTTCCCTACAGAATTCGATTGGTACTCATCGTTCCACTTCTTTTAGTGAATAAAACCAGCAAGTCCTTGAAAATGAGGTTCTATACTCTCTACTGCTTAAACTCACTTCCCATTTCGACTCCAACCAGCACAGCACGCTTCTGAATCGTGTCCTTTTAGGGTGTATTTCGGCAGAAGCGCACGGCATTGACGTTCCGATGAAATCGCTTTTTCGTCGAAGCTGCTATACAGGTCCTAGCCAAATAAATCATTGCCTTAGATAAGAGCGTCATTCCGAATTAAACCGCCTCACCTTATACATTAATACACTTACCTGCAAATCCCATATAACAGCTTGCTGATTCTTTGAACCGCACAGAAGGTAATCTGCAGATGGTGAACATTGTAGCTGAAAAAAAGCAAATGTTAAGGGAAGATTTTGCTAGAATCATCAATGCAGGTGTTAGAGTCACCTGTACATAAAACGATTCTATAGCAGCTCCTGTGAAATGTCGCACTGAAAGCAAAAGTAAAATATCAACTTCCACAAAAGCTCAGAATATTCAAATTTTTTTGGAAGAGCCATATAATTTTGTAGTTTGTTTGGGTGGAGCAATGGTAAGTGGCGCACTACTACATACACACGGTTCAGGGATCAAATCTCGGGCCGATGTCCGAGCAGATAGACAAGCTTTCCAACCCTCCGGAATCGATCAACTGATGCGAATTGATGTCATATGAAAGTACAACTCGAGTTGAAAGGTTAACTTACACGGCTTAGTGTTACTGGTTAGGATACCGTACTCGTAGACACAGTTGTCCGTGACAGCAGCAAAAAGAGAACTCCCGAAACGATCAAGGCAAATGCTTGTGATGCCTGAACAAATAAGATGGACCCGACTGCATGAGGTTCTAACAGCGATTTAAGAATTCTCAGCAGTGTAGTGCTTTTGAAAGAAGTGGATCCTAACATATTTGGCTCCAAAATTGGCAAGGTGGAACCGTTCGTGACGAATCGGTACGATATCTCCATTCTAAGTACACAACGACCACACCACGACTCTCAGTATACCTGCTTCTTTGTGGGTAGGCACCTCCAGTTTAGATAGAACATGGCCTTCATCCTTGGCAGAAATCTTTCGGGTATCCCATAATCGCAGTCCACTGAAAACTAACTGTCGAAAATAATAATGACAACGTATTCTGCTCGGAACTACACCTTTTTTATTAACAGCATAATGTAATGACAAATGATACTTAGACATAGAATGGCACCCTTCCAAGCATATGGCAATCGATGTTTTTGAACAGTCTTAATTCTATGCTGAACGACATCCTTCAGGGGATGGAAGAGAAGGAAGAGAGGAGAGAGAAGGGAGAAAGATGTAGAGGACAAAGTCAAGTGAATCTTGTGTACGACAGGTACGCAGCCGGCAGTGCCACTTGTGAAAATGCATACTGGAGGGATTTATATGTGGACCCCAGAAAACTGTTGCTGACGAACCAGCTTTTTTGGACAGAGAGAGAAGAAATCATTCACATCAGTTCTTGCAATTTCACTAACCTCTTTCCACATGATGATGCAGAGACCAGGGTGTAATCGTTTGCGTACAGGAGGCTTGTGACGCTTGGTGGCTCTACCTTCTCAAATCGACTTGAAAGTCGCGATACTGACCTTCTCCTCGATGGGGATCGGTGATCTGAAAACATATGACTCTCGACAACTACAGCTATTACAGCACGGTACTAGTAATACATGAAACAGCCCGTTTTGATCCGTCACTTCGAAGCTTTCTCGAAAGACGGAAGAGATCACGTTAGGTGGGAAAAGTTATAGCCCAGGAGCAGAGTTCCAGAAACGATCGATTTTGGAAATCGAATACCTTTCATAAGATGAGCATTCTTATATACATTAACGGCTTTCTTCAAAAACTGTCCTTGCTGTTGAAGAGAGCTTGTTCTAACGTCCCATAACCGGATCTGCCCGTCCCTGCCACCCGTTGCGAATACTTCTGAAACATAACACTATACAGAAACAACCAAGCGAATCACAAGGTCCTCCGGGACTTACGACTAGATTGGGGAGCAAAACAAGCACTCCGAACAGACATTTCATGGCCAAAAAACAACACAGAATCATGCCGTTGCAGGTCCCACAGCCTCAAATGTATTCAGTTAGGTTTCCATCTCATTTACTCGGATACTTTCCAATTTACCGTGCGGTGGTATCTCCAGAAATTGATAGCAGCTGATTCGGATTGCTTGGAACGCCTATCACATCCATCACTGTGGCGTTGTGTGCAGGAAAACCTTCATTATGAATTTGGATAATTTTCAACCGAGAAAAACTGACAAAAAGACTTACTCTGAATTTGAACCGCTTCATGATTTGGTTCAGAACCAACAACGGGCGTTATGTCCACTATGCCCACGTCGCCTTCATCACCACCAAGATAGAGCACATTCTCAGAGTGGGGAGAGAACCGGCACACCACCCAGTTATACTAGAATTGATGGTGAAAAGATAGCAATAAGCTGTTCGCCTTCAATGAAGTGCTAAGTTGAGTTAAATGGTAAACAAACACTGATGTTTCCTGCTGAAAATTTATGTTCTCCAGGTGAAATCCTTCAAAGGTTTTTGATTGCGCTCACATCATGGGTCGATTCTACGCTCAACGTGAAAAACGGTATAGAAACGACTATCCCCCAAGGAAGAGACTTGCAATTTTACAGAATAAGCCCCATCAAGTGCTGAGGTAATAAAAAGTCCCTGCAAAACTAGGGCGAATGCTTTAAATAAGTGGTAGGGCCCAGCTCTTTACTAGATGATAAGTTTGTCTATAAAAACAACAGTACACAACAAGTTTCACCCTCATGTTATTCTTTCCAATGAATTGCTTTCCGCTACAAAAGGTATGACCCACTGTACAGGTATTTCGGTAGAGGATTACTGCAACCGACCCGTTGCTAATCAACTGGGTGTAGGTGAGAAGTAGGATTGATAAGGGTGGAGATAAGTGCCAGTCTTGGTCGAAAACGGCACAACACCAATGGCTTCTATCAAGTGGGTGCCAATGGAAGGAAAAGTAGCAAACCAGAATACTCAATTAACTTACACTTTCAGAGCCATGGTAGTAACTTGCCGCACAAGGAACTGAGCGATAAAATTCGAAGTGTCTTTGTTTCCGTTTATAGTTCTTTATTGGATTCGCTGCCTGCACCAGATCCATACAAATCCTACAATACTTCTATTCAACCTTTAACTCTCTGGAATAGAACTTATTTGATTCGACAACTGTACACCAAGAATCGTAGGGCACCCTAGCACCTGCACCGACACCCTTAAAACGGGAAAACCATCTCAACAGGAGCTCTTGCTTATGGCTGGGTTATTTCTACCTTTCTCGAGAGATTACTTTCCGTATTTGAAATAGGAATCCTCGTAGAAGCTATGGAAGAAAACAACATAAAAAATAGTTCCAGGATGCCAAGAACTTGAAAATTTTGCCTCACCACGGCTGTCCTACAAGGGAACTCAACCCATAGCAATCTTGCACTCAGAAATTCACGAAATACTTTTTATATAGATTAAATGAGCACAAATACTCAAGAAAGAACAAAAACTAGTAACTAGTTAGTAGATTGAAAGTTAAAATTTCGCGCTTGTTGATTGGAGCGCGACGAGCATTCGCATTGGAGTGCGATCGTGCATGGCATGGTGTGGAACTTGTGATCGATGGAATCCGAAGGTTTGGCTTTATTCTTTCTCTTGTACCTGTGACGTAGGTGAGCTTAATGCTTTAAAAACCCACCATTTTGTCAAGTAATTGGTATTTCCATGCTTTGACTTCGGAGTTTGATTAAAACCATCAGAATTTGTTTTTTAGAGAGGTCCGAACCAAATATGTGTAACAACGATGACGCCGGAGTCTCAAATCCGGAAAGTAATCATTTCGAAAGTCTGTATAAATTGAGAGGTAGTGATTTGCAAACTCGTTTGCCCCCTTGGCTCATTGAGCAAGTTTAACGGATTTTGAATTTGACAGAATGCCATAATTTCCTTACTCACTTCCTTTTAATTTGTTTTTATTTTCAGGTTTATCCAATGAAGAGCTCCGAAAAAGACGTCGTATATTTGAAGTGCAAATAAGAAAGAAGAAGCAGGATGATTTCCTGAATAGCAGGAGAAGACTAGACAGCAATGAAGTCGAGGTGATTTTCCAGTTTTTTTTATTTGGAATTAGACTCCTAATCTCAAGCTGCTTCTTTTCCTGGGATCAACCCTGTGATTGTGCCTTATCAAGGGTCAACTTCAAGGTTCATTTGAGAAGAGGTTGTTTTCGACCGTTCATTTGAAGCGATCCATGCTCTTATCGGTCGGTCCCAGCGAAATAGATGGCCTAATTTGAGTGGTTTTTCAATGAATTTGAAACTTTAGTTCCAGAAATGAATTTTTGTCAAATGGGGTACTGGTGAGTGTCACGTATCTTCTGTTCTCCCTTTAGTCCGGCGTGCCCATGTGGGTGAAGAATATGCCTTTATTAAGGCGTGACTCAAGACGGAAATATTCTAATCAATATTTAGCGGTTGAGATGGCAATTTCTAAATCTCTATAGCCCTGGCCTTACTACCTGACGGTTAAGTGGTGAGCTTTGTTTTGACTATAGGAAACTTAAAGAAAGATAAGGGAATCAGTGCTAATGCAAATTTAACGGAGGAAATGGAGACTGCATATGTTTCTTTGACTGTCAATTTTTCCGAGGGTACTTGACTTGGTAAATTATACACGAAATACACGAAAACAGGGGAAGATTCCGATTACCATTTGCTGTTGACAAATTCCTTGAATATAGTCTTGATTGGGATTGGGGTGTTCTATGTTTGTTGAGTGTATTGAATTACGTCAAAATTTCAGTTGTACACTAATCTAATAATATTGAACCACCAGAGAAAGTGCAAAATGTTGGAAAAGTGATTACTTTCTGAATTGAAGCCCCATGCGTTTGTGGACAGATAACTAATATCAAGTGACTTGTTAAATTTAGTTTCCACTGTTTTTTTTTTCAGTTCACGCTTGCGGACGACTGTTGTATCATACCGAAATCAGTGCTTGATATGATTAAAAGTGGAAATTTCCAAAATGAATCGGCAGGCTTGAAGTTCCTCCGTTCGAAAATTTCTGAAAGCTCGGGTACTTAAACATATCTATGTTTTGGCTGCAATGCTTTACAGCGTTTCCGGCATTTCTCACGAGAAGTAGCAGAAAACAAAAGCAGAAATTTCAGAGGACGTTAACTGCATGTCGAGTCTGGGCGACATTTCTTTGATTTCTCATTTAACACGCCTTCTTATTCGTGGAGATGAAGAGCTGGTGGATGACGTTTCGTGGATCCTTGTGAATATGTTCCGTCGACATGAGAGACTGCCGTTTATCGATGATGTCCGTGAAAAAGTCCTTCCCACTTTTTGCGACCTAATACGGCGAACCACATCTGCAAGCAATGGGTGAGACTTTTCTTTTTTTTTTTAGCTCCAACACTTCATCAGAACTTGTAAGCAGTGTAAGGGAGAAGTTCTAAAAGTTTCTCAACATGTGAAAGAGGCAGCTTTCCGGCATGTTCGGTGGGACGCTATTTTAAGTCTTCCAAATTCAAGTACAAGGGCCACATAAGCTGTCACATGGTTTTNTTTTATGAATGATGGCACCCGTTGACTGTCGGGCAGCTGCTTTGATGTTACTCTTTTCTTTTTTGTTTCTGAACTCTCATGTCGTCGGTTATTGCATTACACTATTAGCACTACAAAGTAAGCAACAGGTTTTTAAAGGGTCACCTGATCGTTACGTCTACAAAACACTTATTCAGAGTATGGGTACGTCTAGCAACTTCGTTGGGGATGGACTCCCGCAGGCGTTAAGCGTGAACTAATCGACTTGATTGGGAGGGTATGAGTAAATCGGGGGAACACTTTGTCTACTGGTTTTAAAACAAACGAATAATGATTTCGTCTCCTTCCCTGATCACATTTACTCTCAAAATTCGAGGAGTAGGATTAACTATGTTAAACAAAAAACTGATTTCTAGGTTTTCCTCTCGGCAGACAGAACGAAATCTTCCGGCTACTTCGTTAAGCTTTTTTTTAACATTTCAGGATTCCATTACATATGGAGAATTCGGTGCTTTCGCAGCTTTTATGGTCCATTGCAAGCCTGGCGGAGGTATCTGTTGCCAGTAGAAATTTCGTCATTGCTGGTGGCTTGGTGCAAGACATTTTGCATATTGCTTCCAAGTTAGTTTTTCCGTTGACGTCATATATCCCATATTTTTTCAAGCTAACCGAGCACAAGTCACAGGCCTTTTGATTGTATTGCTTTTAGAAACAAGAAACTAGTAATCCTGAGGCATTTAATGTTTCTCGTAGCGGTTCTCTTCTCGGATATTCAGGAGTTCACGCCCGATATTGTTGAGGTCAGTAATCCAGTATGTGCAATATAAGTACTGCAATAATGTTAAATGAATTAATCGGAAAAAATGTAAAAATAAAACCGAAAAATGGTTCGGCTCATGGAGTTCATCTAATTGAGCGATGTCTAATCCATCTAGTAACATGTTCGGCTTTTCATGTTGCTCCTAAGCTCATGGACTGAGATATATAGTTTCTCTGCAGATACATGGATTCACGGGAATTCTAGAGATTTTCCAAACTCAGCAAATATCTATTAAAACTTTCCGCAAGAGCCCTTTATTCCGATGATTTTTTTTAGTTGCTTCCACTTTTGCCGTTAGTCTGTCGCCAGCTGTCTTCGGAGGATGTCACAATCCAATCAGATGCGGTTCGCGCATGCATGTTTATGTCGGAAAGCATAGATTTTTTCGGGGTAAGCACGATGTTTATGGCGCAATAATTTCCGCATCGAACCTGTTTTACTGCTAGCTTTTACTTCTAGCCGATGGCAGATGCCGGCATCATGAAAAGATTGGCGCAGATGACATCCTGTCGTACATCATATGTAATTCTTGGTGTGCTCCGCACCATCGCGAACATAATTCAAGAAACGTCATCTTTCACTAAGGGTATGAGTGTTATTTTTCACTTTTCAATCATTTGAGGTCTCTGTGGGACCCTTCATTATATAGCAGAGGAATAATTGCATGTTGGTGGTTATCGTGCTCTTTATTATTACAATTCCCATGTTTGTAGCCTTCTTTACGATATTTAGCGATACCATATGATATTCTAGTTGATAATATCTATTGATAACTAAAACTCTGGCTACCAAGGTTCCCTTTTTTTCTTTTTTTTTTTTTTGGAGCGGTGGGGACACAGCCGATGGTTTTGAACTAGTGTGTACCCACGGTCTCCATAATCTGTCCTTATACACTTTTGAAGGCAGTCCGCGAAAGTTTGACTGCAGAATGTGATCCCCCTGAATTTCGAACCTTATATTGAGGTGCTGTAAAAATCAGAGTGAAAGCATCCTCTTGTAGCCATCTCTGTTATAATATCGCGACCAAAAACTTATAGTCTCCTGGAAAACCATGAATCGATTTTGTGAATCTTCCATCAGTGCTTGTTATCTGTCTAGAAATGGTAAATGAAGGCCTCCTAAGCAATATCCTTCCTCTCATGTCACGCAGTTCAACAATGCGAGAAGCTTGCTTCGTGGTCAGTAACATAGCAGCGGAAGGCGGAGACATGTTACAAGCGGTCTTGGATGCTGGCGTCCTCAAAGAGATATCTAATTTGTTGGAAATGGCTGACTACGAGACGCGTAAAGAGGTGAGGGAGGAGTTTACTTTTTTCCTTCACTCATAGTTGGGAAGCACATTAGTACACTTCATACCCAACAGAACGTATCACGTTAGTAATTTAGCGAGTTAAGCATCCCATGTGAAAACCTGGGCGTAGTTGTTCATGTATTCGGTATTCACGATGCTGACGGGCTTTGCATCTTTTTGGAAGGCTTTTAAAGTTAAGCAAAATTCAGAAAAAAAAATTCGTCTCCGAAGCCTGCGATTGAATAAAATATTAAGATTTGTATAATCGATGTTTTGACAACTGAAATGACTTACTTGCTTCTTCAGGCCTTCTACATTATGTATCATACGGCCACGTCGTCTCGATCTTGCCATCTAGCGGCACTCCTTGGAGCTGAATTATTGGCCCCATTGTGTGACTTTCTCACTGTCTTGGAACATTCTCTTGTGGCTGACGCAATGGAAGCCCTCTCCTCGTTACTTGCTTATGGCGAAGAGCTTGCCATGGGGTTGGCAGGTAAGGCTTATGAAGAGGTTTTCATCCTTCGTAGGTGGAGCTCGTTACGCTTCTATTTTCTGCTTCTTTTTAACAAAATTAACTGGTTGACCGAATTATCGCCGGTACCAGGTATTTCCAATTCTTCATTTTCTTTGTCCTAACCTACCTAATTCCCGCATTTTGTTGCTCTCGAACAGGTCTGAGGTTAACACCTTTTTCACGGCACCTTTGTCGTGCGAAACTAACTAACAATAATTCATGAGCTATGAGCTCCTTTTTCCAGGCCCACATTGTCTGAACCTAATCTTATTGTTTTTTTACGGGATTACAAGCAGATGATGAGAATATGAGTGTTCACATTTTTCAGACTTTTTGAATCCCGTTGCTACTCGAATGGAAGAGTTGGGAGCGAAGGATAAGTTGGAATTTCTATGTGATAGCCACTCCATGAACATACATGTAGCAGCACACGAAATATTGGAGAGGTTCGTTTTTCAAATTCGATCCAGCCTTATGTCAGTTTTTGAAAGTTGGGCTTTCAAAGTTGGAGTAAGATTCGAATCATCTACANTCCTTAATAATCTAATCTTTGTAATCAATCTTGTTCCGAGAGAATTACTCTAGTTTTCGTCTTCTTGCATTCCCCCTAATCATGTTTCTCTAAAACTGCACCCAGATCCTGATGTAGTACGTAATGGAAGTTGAATACAAGGTGATTTTGACTGGTTATCGCTGAGCTAATCATCTTTCATTTTCTCGTCCTTGTAATGACTATAATATTTTATGTGATGGTATCGATGGCACAAGGATAACTTTTGATTATTGCTTCAATTTCTGTATTCAAGGTACTTTTATTCATACGAAGACAACGAGATGACAACCCAATTAGCTGTTTCTATGCCTCCATATTCCGGTGTGCCAACACGAGATTCCATGGATGAAACTATTGATATGATTGTAAAAAGTGTATGCCTTTAAAACCAGTGTACCCAGTTATTTTATCTTCTCTATTCAACATTTATCTACAAAACTACACGATGAAAAGTTCCTTTTTCCTCCGCTGAAAACCCATTATAACAGCTAGCTAATGCTTGAAAATGCCTTTCATATCCCATATCCTCTACATCTATCCTCCAGTGTTCAACCTGTATACTTTCCGTGTTGCCAAGCTTGCATCATTGTTCCTGTCTGGATTGTTTCGCTTTCATTAGCCGGTATTGACCATGGTCATCTCAAACTTGGATACATTGGCGGGTATAGATAGATTGTAAACATAACCAGCCATTGTACTGAGATATATTTGCCTATGCATACGTGTAGAACTCCAAATTGAAGAAGTTATTTGATATTAGTCAAAGTATTACTGCAGATGTACTTTCTTGTAGTTTAGAAGTGAATTCACTCAATAAAGATCAAAATATTAATTGAAAGCCCTTTTTTCCGTGAAACCAATTTATTAGGAATGGCTCATATTTCGATGTAGAATATTGGAGGTAATCGTTGTATGGCTCGCTGCGTACTGTAGCAAGAAAGATGAAGTTATTCTTCCAAAAAAAAAAAGATCTGTAATGGATCGTGCACCCTAGCGTACTGAGAACAGTTAATGCATATGCCTTACTTTAGTTGGCTGCAATTTCGCCAAGTATAAACACGGTCTGACCAAGCCAAAGTCCGGTGAAAAGTGAAACAACGAGCGAGGATGGGGCGTCTTATACCCATGTAGTGTAACGGTAGTATAGTTCAAACTTCTAAGATGATAGAGCGCAGAACGGGGAATCATTTGTTGTATCAGTTTCTCAAATATGTTGTTTGCACTGAGAGGTGCGGAAGCAGCTTGGGTGCGCCCTGGGGTAGACAGGGCTGTGCTCCCTAATTGTCCTCCCTAGTGGATGATCTCCTACGATCGTCCCACCCATCTGTAGAACAGAACTATACGATACAGCCATTCCTAGCAGTAGAGGAAAGCAAATAGAAATTAAAAAGTTTCCTGAGAAAAACACGTTAGCTGAAGCCTTCTCCATCCATTATTAGGTCAAAAGTAAAGTCATTTTAGCTAACACTTGCCTCTGATCAGGTCAGCTCCTCCAATATTAGATCATTTTGAGGAAATATTGGTAGTTAGAAATGGTACTCGACTTCTTTATGCACGGATATGGTGTAGTGGCAAGTGAAGACCACTACCACTACAAGGTTGAGCGTCTAACTTCGGATGGATACCTGTCCGAGCCAACGAATTTTTCCATTCCCGAGATCGCTTTATTAATGCCAGATTTGACTTGGACGATAAGAACACTGGTTTGTATATCAACTGGCCACCCCGCAGACAATTTTAATGCTGCATACACATTCAATACACCACTACGATTCTGAAGGGAATTTGAGTACGTGGCGCATCCCAAAACACTGATTTGCTGACGCCAACGACCTCATCCTTTATTTGCCTTCCCTTGGAATATTTGATAATTCTTTCTAACCAGTGAAGACTGTATCATGACAGTAGCTACTGAAGTAACAGGTCAAAGTCCTTTGTAACCCTCCCTTGCCGGCACGGAAGGAGAAGAGTCACACATTTTGAAAGCTGAGGAAGAAAGCTCCGACAAGTAGTGGTGTAAAAGTGAAAGCCACTTCCCTCTTTTCAAATCTCCTTGTGTGGGTCACTTGTTAATGCAGGGACGGCACTCTGCGTTTGTATTATTTGATGGACAAAATTTGAACACCAAACTTCAAGGTAAAAGCTGGAGATGTCGAACCCTCAAGAGCATGATGATTACTCCGAACAAGAAGAGGGGTGAGTTTCCTCAACACCTTCAAATAGCGCAACTGATTCATTCATGTTTTTTACTGATTTCCTCGTCTGCTCTCTTGACCATACCCTGATTCGTTTGGATAGACCCTGTAAGTATCCCATGTCAAGCGGGTGAATGGGGGGAAGCGACTAAACACCACAAAATGTTGATTTATTTATAATATGAAGCTAAAAGTCATCCGTCAATCCATATTAACTCCTTCAACTCAAGGGAAATTCTTCTCAAAGTATCGACCAAAATACTTCTTCCACACTAATGTTTTCAGAGCTCATTTGAGTGAATTCTTCGTTCCATTTGGTGTTGTCCTGGTGACTGCACTCTTGATTGAAATGCTAGTCATTTATTATTCAAAGAAACTGGGTGAATCAGAAAGAAGAGCAGAAATCATCTACGAAAACTATAAACGCGATAAGGATGAAAGCGATTCTGAATCTTCAATCCACAGTGCAGTAGGATTTGACACAGATGATGCATTTTTTAAAGAACATGTGCAGTAGAAATCAAAACGAATGAGACATTCTACAGAGAACATTTAACTTCAACTTCCTACTTTTAAACCTCGTATTTTCGACTTTAGATGCATCACTTTGACAGTATTAAGTTACTTCGAATAAAGAAATGTTATTTTCAAGTTTATAGAAATCCCCTAGGCACCACAACAATTGCTGAAGTATAATATCTACTAAACACTTATTGAAGCATGTACACACCAGGCGAAAAGTATCAGATCCGATTTTCCTCCAGTCGCGGTTCCCCTTATCTTCTTCTACGGATAAATCGATAAACTACAAAAACACCTAACGAAATAACAGCAAGACCGATGGAGACGTACAGTACTTCGGTCACAAGGGAAGGGCTGAAATGGGAACCATGAAGTTGTCATTCCCACTAGTACATATATAAGCACCAGTTTTCATAAGTCAGACTAGAATCACGATTATTAGTCTTAAGTCAAAATACTCACTTGCGAGGATCTAAATAACTCATCGGCCTCTTTGGGGTGCGTGGCACATCATCAAGAATTGAATGTACAGATGGAGCACCGCTAGTTATTGACTCGGAGTCCTCTTCTTGCCCCTTCAAATCACCTGCTGGTGAAGGTGAAGAACGAAGAGTATATCCATCACCTATACACAGTAATGGTTTAAAGAAATGAATGAATAAGTACCTTCGAAATATGATTAAGTGATCTAATACTCACCAAAACTTTTTCGATAAGTTGGTGTCAATGTTCTTTTGACTACTTCATTTTCCGAATCTAAAGCCGATTTGGCAGCAGAAACATAGAAGTCAGCTGATAAATGCTCCTTAAACAGGGATTGTTGTTTTATGCTTAAAATATGTTAAAAAGATATAATATCAGTAAAGCAATCAGCAATCATCTTGTAAGTAAACCGAGTGGGGTGGGTCGCTGGAAAAGCCCGGTATCAAAAGGTAATTTCACAAAAAAAAANAAAAAAAAATCCATAAAATGACTAAAAGAACTCAAAGGCAGCAACTGGGAGAATCAGTTTGATGAATTGGAAGAAAATAGGCAGCTGCAAAAAGAAAGCTGAAGAGAGTCTGAGTCTCTATTCCGATCCCTAATTCCTTACCCTGGTTCTTCCAAGATTTCCACTAATTCAACGGAAGAATTGGAAACAACTAACAAATATGTGGAGCTATGTAATGCCGAATATTCTAGAAAGAGAGCTTTTTAAGTGATTCCCATACAAAAGTGCTACCCAATGCAGAACTCGAAGAAGTGAAGAGCACTGCAGGAAATATCCCTCTCATAACAAAAACCACTTACGTTCAAAATCCTATTTTCGGCACCGACTTCCACAAGCAGATCTACAGTCGACTGATTCTGAGAACGAAATATTGATACGGCTTCATCATGAGTCTTGTCTATGAGCCCGACTCCATTAATCTATAAAATTAGCCCATTGACGATGAATTTGTTCGGCCTCTTTCTGTTCTGACCACAGCACTTATGGAGCCTGTCAAAAGTGGAAATTTTGAAGAATTTTGGTACTACACTATCGTCGAGCCGCGATTGTCACTGCAATAAAAGCAAAAATGACATGTCGGTAGAAAAAGTATTTATAATGCATGTCGGTATGGCAATGATTCCCGGAATATCATAAAAGGGAATGACGACTCGCAATATTCCGTGAAAAAATCCAGTCGACCCAACAGTGTGAGCTTTCAGAGCTGGATTCCATGGCAATACGATTATGGAGGGAGAACTGTCGATAAACGATTCGGTGGGAAGAGCCCCAAATCCAAACTGACTAAAGCTTGCAATCCAATTATGTGACATGCATAATAAAAAAAACCCTAACCAGGCAACTTCTGCTGCTAAATCTAATTTGAGCAAGGTCATTCCAGCAAAGTTATGGTATGAATTTAGTCGATAAGAAAGCCACAGAAAACGTGAAAACAACAAAAAAACAAGAAACTTACAGACAATACTAAATCACCGACAGACAGCCTCCCATCCTTGTAAGCAGGGCCGTCAGCTTTTATGATCGAAACAAAAATCCCACTATGACCAGGGATATGTTGGCTATCCTTTCCTCCAACAATATTGAAACCGAGTCCTGGAACACTAGCATTAGGAAAATGGAAACTGAGAAGATTAACACAATTTAAATGAGTTTTAATACTACTGTTACGATCCAAGGACCTACGATCCATGATATAAGAAGGTAACAATATACACACCGGATATTATTTGAAAGAAACGATTCTTGAAGTTTCAATGTACAACTGACCTTGTGCATCTCGCTCCAAAGTGATCATGGAAATCTTGGTAGGGTCACATCCTTTATCAAAAACTATGCTTTCGTCCTCATTTAGCTTTTTATCCGCGTGATCTAGCCCGCGTAACAAAGTTTCTCCTGAACCGAATATCATTCATAAAAGCTTGTAGTGGATTGGAATCATAATGAAAGAGCAGATTTAAGCTACATCTGCCACATTTCGACAGTTTTAACAAAAAAGCATCGATTAGATCGATGTTCCCTCGATTGTGATTCATTCTTTCACCCTCTCCAACCTTTCCCCTTCCCCAAGCGAAGTCAAGCAATTTACAAAACAAAACAAACAAGCTTATAGCAAAATTTGCTGTGATAGCTAACTAACACGATCTTACTATACTCTGTGCTACATACCTGCGCGATCAAGTGGGTGTTCGTCTACGATAGTAGATTTGTCAGGACTCGAAACCATGAAACCGCCTCAGCGAACGTTCACTGTAACATCATTCATAAAGAAGCACTGAAGATAAGCAAAGTATGAACGCTCTTTACGCGACACGAACTAAAACGGAATGATTCAAAAACAAGTCCAAACAAATTTGTTTATAGATGATTGAGAAATACGCAATTTGTACATCCACAGACGGAGGTATTGCTCACTGTTGCAAAGCAGCAGAAAAGCGCGAATTCGGAAAATTCCCCATTAGGCATGCTGAATACACAATAAAACAAATGCTGGGCCAGTCGATATATAAAGGTGGCCAGACGGCTCGTTCCGACGATTCTCTGACCCTGAACAAAGGGATTTTCCAGCGAAGGGTGAAAAACCAGTACGCGCCGCATACTACAGTGACGAAAATTCAACCGCAATCTCACTATCGTCCATACTACCATTACGAAAAGAACATGCGTCTTTTGCCGATATTACACGATCAGTAGTACTACAAGCATTAATGGGAATACGGTAAGAATTAGGAGCCATACTAAAACATGGTTTTGTTTGAGCGTCGCGGTCGTTAGCTCAAGGTCTATTGCAGGCCATTCATCATGAAGCCACTTGTGCTCTGTCTCCCAATCGACGTTTGCATAAAAACAGCTCTCGGGAAAATCTCTGATTTCACACAGGCCAAAATATCAGCAATAGAGCAAAATTAATCAAGCACGTTGAAGTAGCTCAAAAAGACGATAGAAGAAAAGCTGAAAAAGCAGACAGAGGAGGAAATGAGAGATAGATGAGAGGAGAAGCAATGGCGAGAAGTTCCACGTTCGTCTGAGTCCTGATTGCGGAAATTAGATGTGATGCTCATGCCTATGGGCCACCTTCTGCTTGGCGCTCAAGAATCAATATCCAACCCCTTCTGTCATAAAGTTCGCAATGAGGGGATGGGGGGGGGGGGGGGGGGGGGGGGGGGGTTGTCTTCGAAATCAGTAAGGTACTCCTCAGAATTGAAGAACCAAGAAATCACCGAAGTGGAAAATCGAATAAGTCGCGCCACACGTACCGACCAATACCACGATTCTTCAACTGAGCACAACACCTGGGTAAATACGGCCAGTTTTGGATGAATTGCTTAAAAAGGCTCCAGTTCTCCCAACTTACCGCATCGATCAATAAGCATGCTCCTCATAATCCAGATGTCACATTAGCGCCTACCAACAACTGCGAAACATCTGGCAGCAAAAGCACCTTTCTGGATCACAAAATAATTATCAGCTGCGAACAGGCCGTAATGTAAATCTGAACAAGGACATTTCGAAGAGGAAAAACCACTGCCGCCATGGAAACGTCTTAATACTTTAGTGGAACGTTCGCTTTCAAAAATGTGCATAACAAAAGTGAAGGGGGCTCTAATCTCGAACTATTACCCTTTACGTTTGACTAGGCTACCGGAATTCCTACGAAGGTAACCCAAAAACCACAAATAGCCTTAGAATGAGAATCGCAAGATCGCAATACTACAATGACCTTGTGGGAAAGAGTAAGAAATGCAAGGTCAAAATTACTGGTAAAGAGAAAAACGGCTCTAGAAAGCCGCATAAGATCTTACTGCCTTATTGCATCAGCATATCCTTGGTCTGAACAGAGCGGAATGTAAGAAATACCGACAACGAGATGATTCACAGAAAGAATGACATCCTGAATGCCATGTTCAGTGAGTCATTCAGAAAAAAAAGGACGACATGCGTTCAACTGAAAGCTGATGGGCTGAGCGGCGGCAGACGGCGATACATTTTTATGAGCCTCTCAAAAAAACAAATCGATTTCATCACAAAAATTGATATTGATTGCCTTCTTCAATAACAAAACCGGTGTCCTTTAAGATGATCACGAGTAGAAGATAAAAGTGCATTTTCGGTAATGTTATTCAACAAATTCACAGTCAATGAGGCATCAGAAATCATCTGAGGATTGCAACACAACACATAGCCTGTGAAATGAAGAAGAACGTTGAGCTCAGAAGGATTAATAGGATCAGGGGCATGAACAACTGTTGAGTGTAGGAGGTGGTAGAAAGAAATGAAAGGCAAACAGAAGATCGTAAATACGAAAAACAAATTGTTGACTACTCTTGTCTATGAAGCTAATCGTTAATAAAGCCATAAAATGAACAGTCTTCGAGCAATCACGTAAAATTCCAAAGGAACCCAAATAGACAGACGGATTACGTCATCTGGGAATTTGATTGTTAGCCTAGCGCTAATTGATAAGGAGACTTCTTGCAAGTATGCTCTGCGTCCCTGCCAGACGGTTAGACAACAGACAACTAGACAGCTGCTGCTGCTGCTCTGAAGGAACGGTGTTCACATAGTGCCGTGCTTATTAGGGACTCCTGTCTGCACCTCCCCAATCTCCTCCCCCTCTCACCGCCCAGGTGACCGATTGCATTAGGAAGATTTGATCTCGAAAATTCTTCCTCCTTAGAAGATTAGAAACGATTTGAAAAGAACTGTAATCTTACTTATGGGGAGGCACTTTGGCAAATTGCGGGACAATAAGACCTTCAGAGGGAAATGTACTCAAACGAGTGTTCTTCAACAGTCTATAGCCGTCTAGTATGATGTCTTCTGGGGTTAGACCTCACAATAAGATATCGGTATAAGGTCATGGTATATCAAATCTTATCACAAATTTATAAAGAATTCACGTTGCGCCTTGTACTCTTGTAGTTTTCTGCTTCAATGAGCTTCCTTAAGCGAAATCCCTCATTTAGTGTGCACCTTGGGTAGAGGAATTCTCGGGCACAGGGATGTAGAAAGAAATAGTAAATATTGGTGGTGATTCTTGCCACAGTCAACAATTGTAAACAATTCGCAGGTGGTTGTACCGGTTTTCCCGTTCCTCTCGCTCGCCGTCCTACAGTCCTTTTTTTCCCCTTTATCTCTATTTACTACTTTCTTTACAACTTGACCCAGATGGGGATTAAGGCTTACACACAGAAAACTTCTTTCACAGGCCAAACGCGGCCAGCTATCTTGTTCAAAAAGGTCAACAGCATTCCCTGTATGTAAGGCACCGGCAGGAGCTAAGCCTCTCATACAAGGGGAAGCCATCGAAAAAACGTGGTTTGTAGAACTCCAAGGATCCTTTTAAGATATATTTCTACCTTTCTCCTACTTCTACCTTCACTATTCAGCTTCTAAAAGGTCGCCGGTTGGGATTTGGGATTATGAGGACTGGGGTATACAAGAGGGAAGGTGGGCACGAAGAGGCGGTCGAGGTAGTGGAGTGATGAGGTGATGAGGAACAGTAACGGCGATTCACCTAGGAGATTACCTGGCGCGTCGTTGCAGAAGCAAGTAAGGAGGGGGGAGAAGGGGAGGGAGAGGGCTTCAGACATCAGGACGGATTCCTCATCACTACTGTATTCTATGAGTCGATAGCTTCTGTCCCGCCATACGACAGCTGTTCTGAAGGCATAAAAAAGGTTAGAGATAAGACCATGACTCATTCCTTATCTAACCCCCAACTACACGTGCCTTGTAACCATCACATTAATCCTTACAACGGATAGAACCCCTATGACCCCTTCTATGGAGGACAGGGCTTACGCGCTGGGTTCTAGTTCGACTAGGTCCCCTTCTCAATGTTGTTGTTCTATACATCACAATTCAGTTCAGCGCTCACACTTCGGCTGCGCAGTAGTACCTGGTCTCCTGTGCAAAGCAGGCATATTCCATAGGATTCTTCAAGACGGGCGAGTTGCATGCCAAGCAAGAACGCCAATCTNGGCTTAGCAACCCCAAGGTGCAGACATGTGGACAGACTGTAGAGGATGTCTGACATTTCTGAATGAACCAACTGAACCCTATCAACCTTTCGCCTCCTCTATTTATTTACTTGTTCATTCACTTACTTATTTCTTGTTGTGAACTTTGCAAGGCAATGGGTGAGAAGTAGGAAGTTAAAAATAAATAATGAGAAGCTCCGTTTGCATGGAACTTTGGAAGAATCCTCATAGCCAGCTTTGAAGGGGTCTGTTTGCTAGTGGATATGGACCAATCTGTAATCATACATGTCTAGGCCAACCAAGCCAACCACTCCTTCTGGATCTGGGAGGATAAGATTGTTCGCCGGCTTGACACCACAATCACTGAATAGGCTACGTGAGTAGTGAGTCACACGCCCTACGATTCTGGATGGAAGTTGAATGCGCGGCTGATACCAGAACAGGATTGATTACGGCCAAAGAGCTATTCTTCGTCTGTGTGCTGTTGAAAAGAGAGTTATATTCATCCTGGACATCCTGTTATGAAACGTCTGCTGCTCAGTAGGGTAGTGAGCCTTAAAACTGAAATTCTTTTCTTCTTCGAAAAAGCCTGCAAGGATCCATTTGAGAAAAGCCATACCCAACCGCAGCAATGGGAGGTTTTAGAGAAGGTCGTTCATTAAATTTCCTGTCATGTGGACACCTAATTAAACTAAACCCGTTCATCAAAAACCATCATTAAATCGTTCACGCGGCAGAGATGGTGGGGCAGAATGGCTGAAGAGTGTAAAGTGTGGAATCTCGACGATACATTGAACTGTCGATAGTGGTCGGGCCAACGACATCAACACAATAACTTTTATTCCATCTAATGCGTATTTTTATTACCTACTTATGTATTCTGCAAGTATCTGGTTTGTTACAATTTCGTTTTACAATGGTTACTTTTGCTCATAGTGCTTCACTAGTATTACAGTCATGCTGATCATACCGTAAGTCAGACCTTATTGACTGACAGGTTGCCCATTCAGGGCAGTGCTTACGGTAAACATAAAGATAGCTTATCTGAATGTAAGGGGGATAATTGAAATAAGAAATAGTTTACAATTCGAATGAATAGATCCATTTTCCTGTCTTAGATGAATAAACAGACCATTTTTTCACTAGTTCACTATGCGACTTTTATTTATCAGAAAGATTTTTTACATTTTAGTTTTGGTTTTTTGAAACTGATAAACATTTTTCCATAATTGTCAACTTTTACCTAATCTAATATTGCTCGTGAATAACCAATAGAACGGACCCCGATCACTGCCACCGCCTGAAGGGGTAGCTCGCAAAGAGCTCCAAATCCTTATAAGCGCTTGATGCCCGAAAACCTCTTGAATGACCCCATGGTTCTTGAGCGTCTTTTTCGGTGTCCTATGTACACATCCGGACTACCGTGGACACCATTCTCAATCAGGGTCTCGTTAAATGAAGTCACCACTCAACAGAGATGGGGTTCGGGCCTAAATGGAAGTAGTAGAGCAGCATTGAAGCATTTATTTATTTATTTACCTATTTATTCATTTATTGATTTATTTACTTACTCTTTTATCTATTTGCTCATGAATCTGGTGGAGCTAAAGGGCTTGGGTAATACAAATGTCTGCCATTAAGGTTCCGAGAAGTTTTTACTCTTCTCCAAAGCCGAACTATGTGAAGCAGAGCCACATCTGGACATGTGCAGAAAGCGACGTGAGTTCTGTCTTGCTTCGCAATTTAGTCGAATTACGTTCCAAACGAAGAAGCTTGCATAATTATCATAGGAGTTTCATATTCATTAATTTCACTTTTTGTCACTGTTTTTTTCTGTTTTTATGTCTTTTTTGACCCTTTATAAGGAACTCTCTGTCAACATTGCAATGGTATCCCAGTTGCCCAGCACCGAACGTTCTTGAACCTTTCTTCATGGCTTTGAGATAGCCTCGAGGACGTCATGCCTTCTATAAAGCCCGAGGCTACAGAACCTTTTGACAGTGAAACTTGAATAGTCTCTTGTGCTGATGAACATCACAAAGGTGTCAGGGGTGACACCATGTCTGTCCACAAGGTCGGGCGGTTCCAAAGAGGGTCGGCGATGGCAGAAGAAGCCGCATATGTTTGAAATGACGAAAACGAAACGTGTTTCCATTGAAATCTCAATGACATCTGCCGCAATTCACGAATGATTGATGAACGGTCGTTAAGCAAAAATCACACAACCACGGTTCGATTTTCGCTCGTTCTTATAGTTATGTGAATGTTACACAAGCTGCCAGTCACCCTCTAGACATTTGGCTGATAGTAATTAATAGGTAGTGGAACGGCTGTTTATTTTGTCTGCACGTCTGCATTCCAAGCGATAAAATCTCGACTGACAGCTGAAGCCGTTTTTGCAGTGTCGGCTGAACTGCTAGAATTCCTAAAATTCAGAAACTCCTGACTCGCTAGCAGTTTGAACTAGGGGGGATGGGGTCTAATCACTTGGTGGGCAATCAGCACAGCCAACAAAAATAATATTCAGAAGACCAAGGTATTGAGTCTGGCATCCATTCCTGTCTACCCAGCTTGACTGCCGATGTCGATTCCTTCCAGTGTTGTTTCTTCCGTTACTTGCCGGCAGTCCCTTTCCAGAATAATCCCTTGCACTCGTGATGTTGTAGTCGGTCTGCCTTATCGGAAATGTTACCCATTGGCTGAACGATATCTCAATGTCTATCTTTAGATCCTCGGGCGAGTTGATATATTGCCAAGTGACGCACGTGGCCCTTGTGCAGGATTGTGGAATGATTCTGCACAGAGTAACAACCTTTCCAATCCTCCAGTCGGATAATTGGTATCAGATTCGTCTAGGAGAATACAGTCATTGAGTTCTTCATAATTTGGCTCAGTTGTGTAGGCCACGTACACGTCTTCTGGGTTATAATGATTATGAAGACGGTCGAATCCATGGGCGTAACCTAGAGATCGCGTTGATCAGCACCAAAGACTGCTCTGCTCGCTTTTCTTGAGAACGGCTTCCAACATACTCAAAACTTTAGTTAGAGTGCATCAGACGTTTCCTTAATCTGAAATGCATGTCGACTCGTTGCTAGCCCCTAGTGTAATTTAATTAAGTCGGGTTCTTTTATCACATTAGTTTTGCCTTTACATTACTGTAAGCGTTTATCTGTCCCTGGAGAATTAATGTTCAAGAGATCGACTTGATTAGGGTTCCCATACATTCGTGTTAGTAAATTTGGGCTGTAAGTAAAATGCATAGTGCATCCCAAATGGCCAACCTGAAATTCTGCCTTCAACAACCATTGGCATTTACGTGAAATTGAGCTCTAGAGGGTAGATGGTGCTGCATGACTGAAACAAACCCCGAAGGGCGGTCTGGATTTTTCGGTTTGCAAAAAAATTCCTAATGTTCACTATTTCCACATAATTCATAGACAAATATTTCAGCTGCTGCCAGAGCAGTGAAATCGCTTCATTCAGAGGAATTAGTGGAAAAGGTAGGAGTCGTTATGGCCACAATATTCACTTCATTAGCTTCAATCTGATTGGGAGTACTCTGATTACTGTAACCACTCTGAATTTTCATAGACCAAGGCGGCTTGGATTCCCAATTTCTAAATCGTCATCATCTTCGACATCGGACCTTATGACCTAGTCTCCTGGCATGGGAACGACTTTTCCGGCATGGCAGCAAATGATGATGGCGATCTAGAAATTGGAAATTTGAACTGCTTTCATCTGTGGACTTTGAGGATAACGGAGCCTGTCTGATAAGCAGTAACTTTAGAAAGAGGAAAGCGAAAAGGAAGGTTTTCTACCAGCGGATCCTTTTGAGGAAATCGTTACAAGGTAGGACTTTCTTTTTGAGGTGGAAAGTCATTTGAGACTAGATCTCGTGCATTCCAGGCCTCCTCCACGGTCCGAGTCGGAGGGGAAATCTTCTGTACCAAGGAAGCATTTTCGTAGTCTGAACGAGTACTATAGGTATCGTCAACGGGAATATGAACAACAGCGATATCATGCTCAGAATGGATTGCTCTATAGGTCAGTTTATCCTGTACTAGAAATGAAACGTTCACATAACTGTCGAAGCTACTGTAGGAGTATTTATCTCTCTTGAATGGGCTTCGTGAGCTTCGCGCCGGAGCTCTACAGCCTGGGACCTATTGCCATGAAACTGAAACCCCATGATTTCAAAAATAGGTGAAAGAGTAAATGACACGTCTATCTTCCTCGCTTCATCCCCCACTTCTGATGTCAAAGCTGAGGCTTTTCGATTCTCATTGTCATTCCTACAAAAAACTACAAGTGTTTTTTACCAAACTCGATTGCACCATATTGTTACAGTATTTTTTTACAGTAATCTATCATTTTATTTTGGTCCGTTTTCTGGCCAAACCGAACCAACTTATGTGGCCCCCTGCTGAAATACCCATCAAAACCATGAACCTTCAGGGTCTATCCAGATCAGCATCCGAAAGACTCCTATTACTGTCCTGACATGCGAGGAATGTTCTACTATACTTGCCAGCCAAGTAAACCATTACGTCTAGACCTTGTAGAATTTTGTAAGGTGAGTTTTCATGTGGCTTTTCATGAATATGTAATGTTTTGACTCAAAAAACTTGATTTCTTGAAAAATGCTAGGTTCGAGGCCATTCAAGCTTGTCTTCGTTCTCTCAACTGACGAATAATGACCGATTTTCCTGAGCAGTGTCAATATCCCTGTTGATTCTGGATAGTTATTCTCTAACAGTTTTGTTAAGGATTATTCAGCGTTCTGCGATGTGCCAAACTTCCACCGCCTTCCTGGACCTCGTATGGGACCACCAATTGGCGATACTGGAGTGGGTGTTTGGCTTTCTTTAAGATTCCTACGAATGACTGCAATTTCCAAACCCTGAAACGAAATTTCAGATTGGACACGTTGGCGTAAGCGGTAAGTTCGGTTTCGGCGTTGGAGCCGTGCCAGGATTGGATGTCGGAGTCGGATGGGGCGTGGATGTCGGACCGATACCGGGCATGGGTGAAAGTGTTGGAGTTGGTCTTGGTGGGTACCTATCTAGTGACCTACCATTTTTACATATTTTTTATTGGTTATTTACAGTGATAGTGAAGTGCTCTATTGAATGACTTAGCTGATTCGACTTAGAGGGATGGGCCGATGGTGGGCAACAATGAGGGGAATTCCCACGGGAGTAGACAAATGTCGCAACCAACCCTTTGAAGGGTTTCTCCTCTCCCATTAGCCAAAAAGGCAGTCCATAGTTTTGAATTTTACGTGAGCAGATGAACCTCAACCTGTTTACTTGCCCTGTGTACTTTATTAGAGGGATTTTATCGTCCCGTGAGTGTGTGACACCGTAACCCCCTAGCGCCTCACCACCCAACCCCGTGGGCTTCACCCGGGGTACCTTTCCTTTGCGTCGTATATGCGACCGGTGTTTTGGAGGCGCTTCAGCGTGTGTTTGGGTTACTGTGTCACACATTCACGGGACGATTAAATCCGTCTTGTGTGTACTTTTAGGGCATAACAGGGGGATGGCCCGTTCTATCCATTACTGACAGGCAATCCTACGCCTCACACCCTTACAGCTAACCATTACCATAACAGGTCACATGCAAACTGCTTCTAAACAGATTGAGCTCTTACCCCCAGTACTTACCTGTTGGACCTTACGTATCTTATGAAAAATGTAGTTGATTATTTATAACTATGATTATTCAGTCGCCATGACCTTCGAGAAAAACATGTTTTAAATCCTGTTTACGAGGGAAATTTGCCCTTATCATACTGGGCTTGCCCAAGAAAATGAACAGAAATTCAGGTCTCGATCTCGGAATCATGGGATCAAAATCACCTGAAGCCTATCGTAGAGGACAGGACAATCCATATGAGAAGGTAAATCACGAGATTTTCATCAAACTATATAAAAATGTGATTGGCTTATAAAAGTTGTTTCATCGCTGCAAATCTAAAGGTTGTCATCAGTAGGTAAGTGTAATTCAGGCGAAACCACTACCTTTCTACGAAAAAAAAAAAAGAAATCTGTGGATAAAAAACTTCTCAAAAATGTCAGAGATAGTTTCTTCTTGCCACAGTCGCTGGGGTGGTTTAGGGAGAAAGTCTGTTCCTTTTCCCGTTAATGTCTACTTCGATTCTATAAGTCACTATCAATTAGTAAGGTAGAAAATATCAAGATTCATTCTAGTAACTACTACCACGTTCCTCTCGGATCATTGCACACTTTTCGAAATGAGTCT